AAAACTAGCGCTATGTAACTACAAAACAGGTACTATGATGCAACAACTACTTCAGGTAAATGAAGTTGCATTTACTAGAGCGAAACATTCCAGTTTGCCACGAAAGACACCTAAAGTCTGTAGCTCTGCAGCACAACGCAGATACATAATGGTGAGTTTCTTGCAGGGAGACACTACTGTTCTGGGCATTCCATGATTTACAACTATCTGTACAGGCTTACACCATTTGTTGTCCATCATTTAATATAATTAATGAATAAAAGAGAAAGAAAAAAATCAACCTAAACCCCACATTTAGAATCACAGAATCATAGAACAGTTAGGGTTGGAAAGGACCTTAAGATCATCCAGTTCCAACCCCCTAATTTCATCCATTGCCTTTTCAAAATTAAGACTGTCAATCTATAAAAAGTCCCTGTACCAAAAAGCAGTTTTAAAACAGCTCATACTGGCTCAAGAACGTGTTTTCTTTCTGTTCACTTCCACTAGTCTCTAGGAACTCTGATGTGAAACTTCAGAAGTGCTGCTATAAAACTACCTGGAAAAGTGACACTATATGATAGAAGTAGGAACAAACTAAAAATTGAATATTGTCATTTAGAACGCTTCTCTCCCACCTTAGATTTTCTTTTTCAATAGACACTTAGGTAACTTCATGACTGATAAACCTTTCTGTTCCCAATGAACGATTTAGTTGCTAGATGCATACAACAGCAGTAAAATATAGACCTAAGAGGCCTGGCTTCTTTACTGATTGATGCTTATTTCAGGTACTGTTGTTTAACTTCACAGTGGGAGAGCAGATGATTAAAAACCAGATTAGCCTCCACACTATGGATGGATTTGCAGTCCAGCTTAGAAGGAAAGCAAGTAAGAACAGGCTCATGCTATTGATCCAATTTTCTGCTATGAGCTGAGAGGATGCAGCAGTTAGATCTGATTTTACAATGAGCTGGTTCCCAACAGCTCTTGTAGTAGTGCAGGGTAAGGTAAGAAAATCATGGGAACAATAGCTGATAGAATAATCCACCCATTGATTTCTACTCCCTGCTTACGTGCCCTGTGTTAATTGCACGTTGTGGTTTAGCACTGCTTTCAGCCTGTGCTTCCTGAGTCAAGTAGAGTACGAAGTAAAGCAATGGGAAAAATCAAATTCCTGAATTTAGTCCAAATGGAATTGGACAAAAATAGACTCAAAGATTTGCACTGCAAATTTGATTCTGGAATGAAGGTTGGGTTGGTTGTTTTGGTTTTTTTTTGTTGTTCTGGTTTGGGTTTTAATCCTTTTCACTCAGCTCTTCTTTGCAATAAGGGCAATGTGAAAGGAGAATGCTGGGAAAGAGAAATGTTCTTGTTCCCAGCAAGCAGGTTAAAATATTAAGGGAGGTGGAGGATTTGAGGAACTCACTTCTGACACAGAAGTCACAGAAAAAACTTAGCAGGGTGGGATGAGCTGCTGTCAGTCACCTCTTCCATAAATACTTTCTTTGCCAGTCATGCTAGAACTTGGTTTGCTGTCTCTCATCAAAGCACTATGTAAATGCTGATAATTTTAATGCTGGACATCTAAATGCATGACAATGTTAAATATAATCCTAAAGGGATTAGGGTTAGGGTTAGGGGTTAAGGTTAGGTTAGAAAGGGAGACATTTAAAAATAGACAATAGCTCAGTTCCACTCCAGCACTGGGCAGAGCCTTTGCATGCCCTGCCTTCCCCAGGTTTAAGTTAAAATTCAGACAACTAATAGCATTTCCTGTCACACTGGGAACATCCCTCTTTCTTTCTGCTTTACCTGGACAATACCTTTAAGAATCTAGGAGTTCAGATTTACAAATCTGAATGATGATTTGTAATGATGATTTACTAATACTATGGATGATCAAATCCAATTCAGTATCTCCCTATTCTCCAGCATTTCATTCAAACCACAGGTAATGAATGCCCTGGTAAAAAAGTATTTGGTTTCATTCCAAAAGGACACTTTGTGACTGTAGAAGTTTTCAGCAGCTCATGTGGCTGAGGAACTGACAGTCCACATGTAAACAATAAATACATGATGGAACAAAACCCCAACCAAAAGCTTTTCACACTGACCACAACATTGTACAAAGACTTAGGACCAGCTAAAAAGCTGCATGCATTAAATCAAGCTTAGAGTGAATAAGCAGGCACTCTTTGAATATCCTTTAATTTTACCTGGACCTCCAGAACCCCTTAGGAGCTGTCCTTCTTTATAGGAAAACATTAAGCATATGCATTACATGAGCTTTGTAAGTTTGAGTTCTGCTCTTAATATAGTAACACAAATCCTACGTTAATTTCCAAGCAGAATTACTTTACCATTCTGACGGCTTGCATTTGGAATGATACAAATTTTGGAAAGGCTTAATGGAATGACAAATGCAACATAAAATTGGATTTGCATGTCCTGAGGAGAACAGTAAGAAAAGGAAACCCCAAAATACCAACTCCCCCTTCTTGCATAATGCAGAACAGTTTGAAGATATAACGTGGTTCAGCATTTCAAAAGAATCACAGCATAGCGAGGAGAATGATGCCAAGGCACACAGGAACTCATACAGCACCAAACCTTTAACACTTGGATATTCACAGAGAAGCCAGGCATGATGCTACGCACAAGGCAGTTACACATCCATGCCTACTCACTGACTCCACTGCATGGTCTCTCAGATTACAGAATTAGGCAAGAGCCTTTAGCAATACTGATTTATCTGCACATTGTTCTAAACAGCAACCATAGATAGGATGGACAATCAAAATTCCTTTTTATGGCAATGACTGCCAATGTCTTGTCTTCAGGTTTGGAAAGAGGATATGAGGTGTGCATTGCATTAAGAAAAGTAGGAATAAGATTGATATCCAGGGTAGAACCAGTAACTCACTCTCATTTGGGGATCTAAGTGGGGTTCTTCCTGCCACCCAAAGACAGCCCAAATGAGTTTCATAACCTCAGCTCAAGATGACCTGGCCAAAACACGTCTTCTGCCCTTGGTTCCAGAACACTGTTATTGAAACACTCTGTACTTCCCCAGACTCAATGCAGTCCTGGGAAGATAACAAATCCATTGATCCAGGCACAAAATAGTGTGCAAATCTCATAGTGGTGATAACTGCTTCATCCAGTTCTTCAAGAGCATGCAGAGTAATTTTTTGTTTGCTGAGCACTACATGATTACATTATATAAAGCTGCTGCTAGCAGTATGAAAACAATATTAAAAGTTTAACTAAGACAATGTGTTTCAGAAGAATTTGCTTTCTTTGGAGCTGGAATGTCCCCATAAAAAGGCATGATCTGTACTAGACTGAGCTGTCCAATGATCTGCAAATGCTGCACATTGTGTCCTGGAGTAAACCCTGCTTTCTTCAAGCCCAAATTAGTTTGGATTTCTCCTGTGCATTCAGAGAGCATTTTCAACTAATGCTAAAACTACATGTCTTAAACCTGCAGTTTGATCTGTGGGCTTGACTTTCACAGATGCACTTTCACTTTATAGTACTGCATGTCTAATGACAATGCCAAGGATACCGGGTAGGGAGTGTGTGACCGTGTACCTGAAAAGCAGAGCTGGTTCCATTTTCAAGGCTTGATCTACTACCCTGATTTGGCAATAAAAGGGTTTGGTTTTTTTCCCCAAATTCCTCCCTCTTTCTGCTAGCCTGCTGAAAATACTATTATTTATGCAGATCTGTGCAGCATACAAAATACCATTCAGAGTTTCTCCCTGCGTCAATACAGACTCATAGTTACTAGCAGCTTCCTGCTTCTCCCACAAGCCTCTCTCTCCCCACCTCACCTGGCTTTCCACCAGTACTTCACCCCATCTCTACTGCAGCAGAACTATTAGTAATTCTAATACTATATATAGTACTATATATATATATATTAAATAGTACTATTTCCTCTTAAAGTTTGTATTGCCAAGTCTCTCCCACCTCCCTGTTAATACTTGTGGTCTCACATTAGCACACAATGAAAGAAAGTCCAGGCTGCACAAAAGTGAGTCAGTTAAGATCTTCATTCCTGTTAAAGGCTGAGGTATTTTAATTTTGCAGACTCTGAGAAGATTTACCCAGCAATACAGAGATGAAAGAAGATGAGAAAATGTCTGTATTATTGAAAGCAAAACCCAGTGCATGAGTGTTACAGCCCTACCAGGGATTGACTTCAGGACTAGTTTTCCTCATAGCAAAACTGAAAAGCTGTGCCGTCATTCACTTTTCAATTTGGAATAATTCTCACACACAGAACTATGCCTTTTACTGCAGAACAACTTAATGTACATAAGCCCTTCCACACTGACACAGATCAAAGGTAGTTCTAGCCTGGCGTTCTGTCTCCAAGTGTCCAGAAGATGTGTAGAAAACAAGTACAAGAAACTGGGCAACTGCAGAGCAATTTATTCCTTGATATACCCTCCCAGTTTACTGCCTTTTTTAGTAGTAAAACCAAGTTGTAACTCTGGCAGAGTCCCAGCTTTTTAGACTTTCATCAGTTCAATTGTTGCTACATAATTCAGAGTTCAGGTCCTGGAAGGCAAATATGATATAAAATACTTTCAGAGCCTTACTTTAAATACAATCATTTGCAATTCTTTTCAGCCTTTTCCCAAAGCCTCTTCAAGATTTAACACTAAAGGCAAGAAGATACTGGACACAGAGATGGTGAAGAGCAAGTCCATCCTTGGAGTCTTCTTGTGTCAGGGCAGGATCCCCCCAACTGAGCACATTCTTTAGGCTATTTTAAAATGTCCCACCCTTAATAGTCAAATGCATCTCACTCCAAGTTCAATGTTAAGCCTATGATTCCTAATTTCACAGCAGGACTTCCTACTACATCTTTTTTATCTCCCCCAGATAGTCCGTAGGGACTAAAGCTGAGCGGAGAAGCAAGGGTCAGTCATAGACAAACACTGATATTTTTCCTTTGTGTGTGTACACATGTGTATGTGCTTGGGCATGTGGACATTTTCACATACATTTGTGGGGATTGCCTGTGGGCCAGAGTCTGATAAACAATGCATTCAATGCAGCCACACCTCTAGCAAGCCCTGCTGCTGCATATGAAGATTCAGCAAGCCTGAAAGAAGGAGAAATTGTGCTATGATCACGTGTCATTTGCCCACATGTCATTTGCCCACTAACATGGCAAAAAGGATCAGATTATAATACTCACTCCCTGTGGATATAAAATCCCTGAAGCATCTGCTAACTCCCAGAGGTCATAAGCAAAGTATGGCCATCCTGGCAAATTATCCTCATTATCTCAGCACGCGTTATGCACATGTGATGGAGCCAGACTCTGACAAGGAGCCATAGTTTCTCTTAGAGCATAGTACAAGAGTGGTAGAGAGCAAGAATATGAGGCTCGTTTCATAGATCACAGCAGAAAGAAATCATTCTACACCAGAGTCTGGACTCTTCTCTGGTCCCAAATCCTCGGCAGCAAAGCAGAGGAGCAGTGGTGGAAGCCATGGCCTTTCAGGGAGCGTGCGAATCACAGCTTTGCACCTGGACACACAGGTGGTATGTCCAGACCTCCTGGAGAATGGCCTCATTTCATGCTGACACTGGATGAGGGAGTCTTTAAACAGCTATGAGCTGTGCTGACAGTGCTAATTACACCCCAGAAGAGAATACCACTGTCAGACTCTGTGGATCTTAGAAAGATTCATGCTAGCACAGTGTTAGTAGTGTATAACCTGTCAAAAAAAAACAAACCAACCCAAATCATGGAAGCATGTGCATTACTAGCTCTTGAAATGCCCGTCACAGAGAGGAATATGAAAGGGACACCAGATCATGTGTTCATTATGAAATTGCACTGAAGGAGCTTTTGTCCCCAGAGAGAGACCTCACACAGAAGTCCATCCACACCTTGTGAGCTCTGACTGACAAACTCCATGGTTTACAAGGAGAATTCAGACTCCAGCCCAGGTCTGGTTCAGACAAGTGCAGAAAGACACATACTAGGAAAAATACTTCCAGCTACTAAGCAGTGTATCTTAAAACCTCTTATCCTCTTGCAGAAGAGCATGGAATAAGCATCTGAGAGCTGATTTTCAAAATCCATAGTTCTTTTATCATTTTAAATAGCATTTACGCTCTCATTTGACCCTCACTGCCAACCAACAGCTGAGTGTCAATAATAAAGGCCTTGTGTAGTCCGGAAGCATAAGAAACGTTACTCTAGTTAGTTATAGTTCCTCTAGTATCAATGTAGTTACTCTATAGTTACTCTGTCTTTCCAAACAACTATCAGGCAATATCTCTGCTGAATCTGAAGAGTAATATAAAGTTTTTCTCATAGCTCTGCTCTGTCTCTATGTCACTGCCATTATAATCATATCCTCTGCAGCAACACTTAAACAATCAACAGACATTTGATTTTTTAAGCTCAGGCTTTTGAGATGTTCTCATTTATAGTAAAATGGTTTCTTTCTACTATATAACTAATCACAAGTGAAAGAAAGGCTGCATATCACTTCCTTTATCCATTCCATAATAACTGAACATTTCTAATCAGCACTTGGTTTGAATTGTGGTGTATTGGAAACACTTCATGTACAAATCAATGTTCCAGAGCACCCAGGTTATATTCTGTATGTATGGGGGTTGGACTAGATGAGCTTTAAAGGTCCCCCTTCCAACCCAAACTATTCTGTGATTCTATGATTCTCTGTATTATCGATTCAACTGTGAAGCCATGTGGCAAAAATGATTATGAAAATATTTACAGGAGACTGAGTCCTCCAGCAAATCAGTAATGAACTTGTTTGTCTGACCTATTTGCTCATGACCTATAAGTGAATGTCTGCTTTTTGCTACAAACTTCTATCATACACATAACACTATCAAGTGATGCTACCTATACTAACAAAGTAGACCCCTTAATCCCTGTATCAACTTGTTCATTTTTTGTAACCCAAGAGGAGAATCTGCATTTTGATTATTCCTTCCTACTTCTTGATTAATTCAGGCAACCATGGTTAAGCTTCCTCCAGATGAGTATTAAGGGAAAAGTTTAGTATCTCTTTACATTCAATTTAGCCCTAGGAAGAGATGTCTGAGACATGTTGATGCAGGATAGCTATGTTCTATTTTCTGGAAACGTTTAAAATTGGAACCGATAAATATTCCTTTAGGTAAAACAGACACTGTCTCACAGTTTGAATGGCTCATCTGAGATGTTCAAAGCTTTCCCTGTATTCACACGGAAGCTAGTGATCTAGGGGAAGTGGATTATTCTTGATACACCTTTTTTCATGTAGGGACAGTATTACAAGGAAGTATTGAATGTAACTGTTTACACACACAAGGTGTCTCTGAAGACAGTAAAACTTGTTAACCTTATCCCATGCCGTATACTTTCATGGGATCTCTGACAACCATTGTGCTCTGTGGGCCCCCTTCTCAGTGACCTGACACGTCTCCAAAGTGTCAGGATTTAGGAACAGCAGCTGTACACACCTGTGCTACTTGCAAACTCACAAAGATTTCAGAAAGAAATGAGGAATTTCATCATTTGGGGCAGCTTGTTTTCTCGAAGAGTGTTGCTCCTAAACAGAAAAGCCCAGCCACTTCTTCTCAAGTGCCTTCCCTGAGCCTTTCAGCAGCACAAAAAACACTGACTCCAGGAGGAATCCACCTTCAGTCCTCAAGCCCTCTTACAATCCTGAACCCACCATGAGCATAAGGCCCTATTTTCCTACATTGTGCCCCCTCCACCATCCAACTTACCTGAACAGAAATGCTGATGCAGAGAGAGACTGTGATGATTCACACTGTTGCTGTTGTGGGGCTCAGTGTTAACTCCGACCTCAGCTCAGAGGTCAGGAGAGTGCAAAACATTTTCCCAGTAGCCATCACTTCCAACAGTGCTGCTCTTCATTTTGGCTGGAGCACTTTTGTTTCCCTGCACTGTGCACTACACGGCAGTACTCAGGCACACACTGGACAGATTGACTCTTAGAAGGAACTGGAGATACTGTTTAAGGAAGCCCATACAAGAGAACATGGGAGACTTGAAATTATTGTAGTAGAAGCAGAGAACGAAGTGGACGCAAATCTATAGAGAACCAGGGTCCATTAGTTCTGTGCTCACAGAACTCTTTATGCAGATTCGCTGATTCCAGAGCATGTGATATCACCACAGAATCATGGCATGGTTTGGATTGGAAGGGACCTTAACGCTCCTCCAGCTCCAACCCCTGCCACGGGCAGGGACCCCTTCCACTGGAGCAGCTTGCTCCAAGCCCCTGTTTCCAACCTGGCCTTGAGCACTGCCGGGGATGGGGCAGCCACAGTGCCAGTGCCTCACCATGCTCAAAGTAAGGAACTTCTGCCTAAGAGCTCATCTCAACCTCCCTTTTCCTTTCTCAGTTTAACATTACCAGTCTCTCACTGTGTATGCAGTGACCCACTAAAGCAAGAAAATCCTCATCTCATGGAGGATCACAGTTAAGCAACCACTCATGTAGTAAGACTTTTCTCTTTAAATCTAGTTCAGACCACTGCTAAAAGAGAAAGACCTATGACCTCTGTACAATGCACATCTCAGAGTACAGCGGTCCACCTGGAATTAGGCATTCTTCTGGCACGGAAACTGTGCCTATAGGGCAACACCTACACCAAAAGCCAGGAATGGTGTGTGTTTGGTCTACATGGGAATAGAAGAAAAGCAAGTGCTTTTTCCTAGGGATTATCCCAGCTGTCTGGCTTGCTTATATCAGCCTGCTGCTGTGAACTACCAAGGTACAAGAAGAAGGTACAAGAAAAGGATTTCTTCAAGACAGAAATAAGTGCTCATGATAAAGATTAAGTACAAATGCAATATATCATTGATCACTGTGTCTAAATGAGGTTTTGTGACCACAGTTTTAAGGAAAAATGAGGCAGCTCTTGCCAAGAAATCAATTGTAGAGATGCTAAACACAAGGGTGCACTAACTTTTTAGTAAAGGGAAAAAAAGCAAAGCATGTCTTTTTATATCTCTGGTTTGATGCTCTTTGCTGCACTCACAATGGGCTATAATGTGCTTTCTGATTTTCCAGCATGAAGTCCTAATCTGATGATATTCTAATGAAGCAAGACAAATGCCCAACACAAGAATAGCCTGGCAGTTCTGCAGTAAAATATGAAGCTAAAGCCAGAACCTCAGGTAAAAGTTTTACAGGCTGAACTTTCAGAAACTCTGATGGCTGGCTGTGTAAATAAAGACATCACCTTTGGCCCATGGCTGCTGTCATGCATGAAAAGCAGTTTTCTGTTAGAAAAAATAAAGCACTCTGCATAGAATCACAGAATCCCAGACTGGTTTGGGTTGGAAAGGACCTTAAGATCATCCAGTTCCAATCCCTGCCACGGGCAGGGACACCTTCCACTAGAGCAGCTTGCTCCAAGCCCCGTCCAACCTGGCCTTGAACACTGCCAGGGAAGGAGCATTTCCCACTGGGATGCAGCATTTACTCCCGGCAAATTGGGAAGGTAATATTAGCATTTGCATCAAGCATTTTGTGCTGCCATTTCCTGAAGGATATTTCAGGCAATTTTAAATGCACATCACTTCCAAAAAACAGTTGAGCACTGGAGCCAGTTATCTTTTGACTGGAAATAAATTTAAGGTTTGCCAGCTAGTTATAATAAAACATGAAGATGTGCCTGCTTTAGGTTTAGAAAGAAGCATAGCCGTGTGGTAAATAAGAAGCATTATTACCTTCAAGCTACTCTGCCTTCTTGCTCTACACCTTCATGTAGTACCTTCCACACATCCTTCGCTTCCCCAGAGGATTAAGGACAAGGCTCTCCCTACGGCTGCCCTCTTCTGGATGGAATCAAACAAGTTCCATGATTTCCACACAGATAAAATGCTGTGTCTACTTTTCAACAGAGGACGATCTAAATTCTTTCCTTATGTCTGTGTAATCACAAAGGTTACACTATGCCAGAATGAGAACTACGAAATTCTAAGCGGCTGCTTCACAGTTCCCTACATAGTTAGCCAATATTTTTTTTTACAGTTTTTAAACAACATTTTTTTTTTCCCTGGCATCTTAAAAAATTTTTGCTTTTCCATTTCTTTCCTATATTTATCAGTGCTTATAGACCACACTGCTGTTTCCCTGTAAAGTACTTAATTCTCCTCCCCATACATAATAGGAAACATTTCCATACCTCTTTGTTGCTTAAGGTAAGCATGTTAAACACTGAATATTATGTCTGGAAAGGTTCTTATATAATCTTTTCCTCTGCCCAAGTCAGGGTCAAATATTTCTTTGCTACTGTAGATCAGCGTTTGGCTGACCCTTGTTACAGCCAGCTGATAACAGGAACTGCACAGTTCCTGCAGGGAACCCAGTCCACTGCTTCACCAGTTAACTATTAGTGTTCCTGCAGGTTCGTTTATAGACTCCTCACACAAGTAAATGCCTCCACAGATGATTTTCAAAAGGACCCATTCATCAGGGAACGTGAAGTTTCTTTCTGTGAGCTCTCATCTTTAAAGGACAGCAAGGATTAAGATGCAAAGTAGAAAGGCTGAGGACAAAACATCCCTTAAAGAGGGTTTCAGTTCTTGACAGTGGAACCAGGAAGTTGGAGGTTTTCCTCAGTATTCTGTATGCACAGTCATACCAGTGCACACTTTGAAACTTTCACTGCACATCTGTGCATCACTGCATGGTCTAGGCACCACGCCAGAGGCTGAATTCCTGCGAGTCCGTGCAGCTCCCACACGTTTACAGCACTAGGACCCAGAGGGAGCTTCATTTCTGTGAGTCAGTGCAGCTAGCTGAGCCCTGTGAGCAGTGAATGAGGCTGGAAAGGCAGAGGGAATGTGAATGGCTCTTCTGGCTTGGGAAAGTGTCCACAGACTGGGGTGCTACGGACAACAAACCAGCTCGGACAACCCTCCGGATTCCGGGTACTGCCGGCGTCCAGTGCCACTGCTCTGAGGTGAGTGCCCCACAAGAGCCAGTGTTCAAAAAGCAGGACACGGCTGTTGCACCAGTTGTGGAAGTTTGGGATCTTCAAAATTAGCCAATGTGGGTTTGCTGTACAGTGATTTTTACTCTCTTGAGGAGAACAGAGCAGATGGCTTTGAAATACGGAGTGCTCATTTCTTAAAAATAGCATTTACAAGGAAAGCATGGTCTAGGGAAACTGAAAATTGCATCTGCTAAAGCAGGTTAAACAGCACATATATCTGGAAGGTGTTCATAAAGCATTTGTGTTTAAGCTTAAAGCTCAAAAACCATCTCTAGTAAGAACAGCTTAATCTTAGAGAAATGTAATATTACTCTTACTCTTTTTATCCAGGTATATGAGAATTTCTTTTTATTTGTATCATACAGCAGTCACACCTATATGAAAATTCTTTACTTTGTTCTGAATATTAAAGCTTACTTAACACTTTATTTCTTTTTCCTATAGCATAATTCTAATCTAGATAAGAACTCCTTTCTTTCTTTGCTAATATAAATAGGAATTCTGGTAAATCAAAGCATGACTGGGCCAAGGCAGAAACCTTTAGCTATAGGCAGAGTAGTAGATCACTAGAGACTGTATCCTCTAGGATGTCCACTTGGAAAAGCTTACAAACTCTCTGCTGCCTGCCAGTGATGAAACTGATAATGTTTATTGGTTTATGCCAGGTTGTAACACTGTTTTATCTGATGCACCAGGCAGAAACAAAAATGAGGACCCCAGTCAGGGAGATGGAATTTGTGTACTGAGAACAAAAAGTGTTTGTGCTGCAGTTGCTTTCTTCACTTTAAATTCTCCTTATATGCTCAAGAAGTTTTGGAAAAACAGCAAAGTGAGCCTGCTTGTCAGGCTGGTTTTTCCAAGTTGTCACAACTTCGAAGCTGCACTGTAACTGTTAGACAGATAATTTATGGGTGTTTTCATGCATTAGAGTATCACAATAAAGTCTTTTTTTTAAAGGCTTTGTTTTTTTTTTTTTTTGCTAAGACAAAGTAAAATGTGACAATTACCTGCAAAAAGAGAAAGGAGCAGCTAAGTTGCCTGTACTTTCATACTCTGCAGCTCTGGGCTGTTTCAGATATTATGGAAACCAGGCTTTTTCAAATTACCCTGACAACTACCATTACAGACATTCATCTGAAACTCAGGTTACAATATTTTCTGCCCTTCCACAAAGAGGTTACAGTGACAGAATGAAGAACCATATTAACTGCAGTGTTCACTGGAGAGTTGTAAGTAAGATTTGGCCTTTAAATATATTAGTAATTATAGATATGAATCATTTTCTAACAAATCTCAGCAAGGACTGGAGAGGAGCCGTCCTGATGAATCTGTGCAGTGGAGTAATCGTGATTTCACATCTTTACCAATCCCAGCCACTTACCCTAAAGGGATCTGTCAGTCTCACAATAAGGTAGTAAAGAGAGTAACTGTGGTTTTCTTTTTCTCATCCGCCTAGCTAAGCAGTGTCCATTTTCTCCATCAAAAGCTTAAACTGTCTTTTCAGATGTCTTCACTTAAGTTCGGTAGAGAATTACAATGAGCACAAAGGCTCATTCTAACCCATACCCTAAGTAAACAGTTGTCACATAGAAGAACCAAGCAGTCTATTTAATCACCGTAAGATGTTAATTTAAAAGATCAGGTTAGAAAAATACCTAAAATAGGTATTCAGGTTAGCATTTGCAAATGTAAAATGTGTTTCTTTAATGGGATACTTAGAACAAGGCTCAGATAGAACACATTTAAAAACTAGATTATTTCAATCAATAGAACAAGTCCCATAAATTCCCCTACTGCTCCATGGCTTTGGCCATCTAAAAATGTTCCTTTAAATGCAAGTTCTATCAATTAGTTTTGTGATTCCTTAAGAAATGCTTTTAGGATTAACAGAGTATTGAATACATATTAATTAGCATTAATTGAATTACATTAAAAGCATGTGGAAAAAATACTGCTCATTTTAAGAAGTTAACATAATTCTGCCTTTTTCTTAGTCTATATTCTAAGAGCAAAATCTGCTGATAAAAAATAAAGGGGTAATAAAATGAATGCTTTCATTCCCAAAGATTCAATATTCTAAGCCTGGAAGTCAATCCTGGATTGTTGGGTTTAGAAATATTTGTCTCTCCTTCAAATCTGAGCCCAGCTAAAGCCAGTGAAACTCAAACTGGCCACAGCAACAATGACATCTGCTGGCAAATGCCCTCTGTTGAATAGAAGTTTCAAGGGCTTATTCAGAAAGTGACCACAAACTAAAACATTAGATCAGCTGAGATACACTTAAGAGAAATGCAAGATCACACCTCTGCCCAAGAAACATGCCTCATGGTAAAGAAAGTGAAAGGCACGTGTAGCAATGCTGATCCAGCTGCATTGCTCACACAGCAAGGAGAAAACTCTTCCTGTGCTGGGTTTGACTTGACCCCGGTCAGAGAGGCCGATGTGTTTAAGAGCATTTCTATGACAGAAGCTCTGGGATACATGTCCTATGGGATGCATGTGGCTTGTTCTCCTGACACAATGCCCTTTGTGCAGCTCTGCCAAATTCATGGAATATTTGCCTGTGCATGTGTTATTTACACCCAAAATGAACATGGCCAAGCAAAGCAAAATCATTTTTGTTGTTGCCAAGAGACTGTAGTAACTTCATGTGGGTTATGTGCACTCTTATCTGCCTGGTTCCACTAGTCTAAAGCTATGGAACTTGGTGGAAAGAAAATCTCACACTGCTGACATAAACCTATACTGTCCCCAAATCCTGAATACTAAGTTCCAGTCATCATTTAGAATCATAGAATCATAGAATCGTTAGGGTTGGAAAGGACCTTAAGATCATCTAGTTCCAACCCCCTTGCCGTGGGCAGGGACACCTTACGCTAAATCATATCACCCAAGGCCTCATCCAACCTGGCCTTGAACACTGCCAGGGATGGAGCATTCACAACCTCCCTGGGCAAACTATTCCACCTTTCCTGTTAGGGTGCCTCACCACCCTAACAGGAAAGAATTTCCTTCTTATATCCAACCTAAACTGCCCCTGTTTAAGTTTTAACCCATTACCCCTTGTCCTATCACTACAGTTCCTAATGAAGAGTCCCTCTCCAGTATCCCTATAGGCCCCCTTCAGATACTGGAAGGCTGCTATGAAGTCTCCACGCAGCCTTCTCTTCTCCAGGCTGAACAGCCCCAACTTCCTCAGCCCGTCTTCATACGGGAGGTGCTCCAGTCCCCTGATCATCTTCGTGGCCCTTCTCTGGACTTGTTCCATCAGTTCCATGTCCTTTTTATGTTGAGGACACCAGAACTGCACACAATACTCCAGGTGAGGTCTCACAAGAGCAGAGTAGAGGGGCAGGATCACCTCCTTCGACCTGCTGGTCACGCTCCTTTTGATGCAGCCCAGGATATGGCTGGCTTTCTGGGCTGCAAGCGCACACTGCCAGCTCATGTTCATTTTCTCATCAACCAACAGCCCCAAGTCCTTCTCCACAGGGCTGCTCTGAATCTCTTCTCTGCCCAACCTGTAGCTGTGCCTGGGATTGCTCCGACCCAGGTGTAGGACCTTGCACTTGGCATGGTTAAACCTCATGAGGTTGGCATCAGCCCACCTCACAAGCATGTCGAGGTCCCTCTGGATGGCATTCCTTCCCTTCAGGGTATCAACCGAACCACACAGCTTGGTGTCATCGGCAAACGTGCTGAGGGCGCACTCAATCCCACTGTCCATGTCAGCGACAAAGATGTTGAACAAGACCGGTCCCAACACCGATCCCTGAGGGACGCCACTCGTTACTGGTCTCCAGCCGGACATTGAGCCATTGACCACAGCTCTTTGTGTGTGGCCATCCAGCCAGTTCTTTATCCACCGAGTGGTCCATCCATCAAATTGATGTCGCTCCAATTTAGAGCCAAGGATGTCATGTGGGACAGTGTCGAACGCTTTGCACAAGTCCAGGTAGATGACATTAACTGCTCTACCCCTCTCCATCAGTTCTGTAGCCCCATCAGAGAAGGCCGCCAAATTGGTCAGGCAGGATTTCCCCTTAGTGAAGCCATGCTGGCTGTCACCAAGCACCTTGTTGTTTTTCATGTGCCTTAGCATGCCATCCAGGAGAATCTGCTCCAAGATTTTGCCAGGCCCAGAGGTGAGACTGACTGGTCTGTAATTCCCCGGGCCATCCATTTTCCCCTTCTTGAAAATGGGGGTTATATTTCCCTTTTTCCAGTCATCGGGAACTTCACCTGACTGCCGTGATTTCTCAAATATGATGGCCAGGGGCTTTGCAAGTTCGTTTGCCAGCTCCTTTAAGACCCGCGGATGGATCTCATCAGGACCCATGGACTTGTGCATGTTCAGATTTTTAAGATGGTCTCAAACCAGTTCCTCTCCTACAGTGGGCGCAAGGTCTTCATTCTCACAGTCCCTGCATCTGCCTTCCAAGACTTGGGTGGTTTGGTCAGAGCCTTTGCCAGTGAAGACCGAGGCAAAGAAGTCATTCAGAACCTCAGCCTTCTCCAAATCCTGTGTAGCCAGTTCTCCGGAGAGCTTCCTGAGGGGGCCTACATTCTCCCTAGTCTGCTTTTATTTGCTATGTACCTGTAGAATCCCTTCCTGTTATCTTTAATACCTCTAGCTAAGTTTAATTCTAACTGGGCCTTAGATTTCCTAACCTGGTCCCTAGCTTCCCGGACAACATCCCTGTACTCTTTCACTTATTATAAGCCTGTTTTTTCAATTGAATTTTCCTCAGGAGCTCCTTATCCATCCAAGGAGGTCTCCTGGCCCTCCTGCTGCACTTCCTGCTGCACCTCAGAAAGTGAAACATGTAAGGGTGAGAATGATGACAGACTGGAAAATTTTCCATATTTAGAGAAACTATAGAGCTTATGATTTCTACATTGCATTAGATGTGTTTTTCAGCCTTTAGCATTGCATAAAGAAACACTCCAATGACACAGAACTTCCT